TGATTTGCAGAGGCAGGGGCCAGGCAGGCCCGAGGCCAGGGGCCTAACTTCGCCAAGCATAGGACGTGCAGCCTTGGGAAAGTCATTAGAAATGTTTAAACAGAACAATTGGCAAGGAGATAAAATCAGGGGAGCTGACTCGCTCCAGGCCTCGGTTTCCCGCCTGCTGGCATTGCTGACCTTCCCAGGTGACAGAGTCTGATTCAGCCAGGTGCGTCTTCTCCCAGCGCGAGCACTGGCAGCTCCTAGTTCTTCAGAGCCAGGAAACACCTGGCGTCTGATGCGTCTTCTGGCGTGGAGTTTTGTTGGGCTAAAGCAGGCCTCCCTGCCAGAGCTCATCACGCACGCACGCCCATATACACTCCCTTCCTAGGCCCACGTCCTGCACCTCATCCCTACCAGAGCTCCCAGCCCTCCCAGAGAGGAGCCATTTTCTTCTAACAGAGGCCCCGTCCATTTTCAGCAAAAGCTGTTTAACCTGTTCAGAAGGAAAGGTCTTTCATTCCTTGACACTTTGGGAGAATGTGCATTCAGGGATGAAAATGATGACAGAGGGAAAAACACCCCCTTACCACCCCACCACCCCCGCAGTGAAAACTTGTTTTGGGGTTAAGGAAATGTCGCCATCTAGTGGTAATATACAGGAATAACTAGATTGCGAGTGATGGGCTTCTAGTGTACACTGAAGAGAGAATCCAGATCCTTAAAGCTAAGATCAATCCCCACGCTGTACCGATTAATGGAAATGTTGCACACGGATGGTTTGTAAAGGTCAAGACTAGAACCAGACACACTGACCTTCTATGTGAATAATTTAGCTCTCTTCCACCCACAGCTCTCCCAAAAATCCAATGCACACTCCATCCTTCAGCCTAAAACTGTTCCAGTGCTCGAGGCTTGCGTGATCAGGTTTGATTTCATCTGGCACATTCCCTCTTGCTTTTTTATCAACTTCACTGGAGGCAGAAGAGAAAGATCAGAGGCATTCTCACCTGGCAGCTGGGTAAAGGGTTCTTAAAGATAAGGAGGCAGATCAGAAACCAGAGGCAGGCAGCATGGATTGATCAGGAACTGAAAGTTCTGATTCTTGTTTCCAGCCCTGTAGCAGTGGGACTTGCTTTATTATCAGGACCAGAAATAAATATTGGACCAGAGAGTGAAGAATTTTCTGTTTGGGATTTTGGATCTCAAAGATCGAAAGTTCAATGAGTTGAGTATAGAAACTTCCATTATTTATGCAAAGTGTGAAAATCTATTCTTGCATAAATTGAGCCATATGATTATGGGCACAGTCATTTCCACCTCTTCTATTTGCATATCTCTGTGAAGTTCACTACACACTTTAATGCGCTTAAAATTATTTAATCTTTACAAATGTCATATGGCAGGAGTTATTCGTCATTACCAATGAGGAAATACAGGCTCGGAGAAGTTAAGCAATTTTCCTAAAGTCTCACAACTCTAGACAGCAGCACCAAGGCTTGCAAGAAGGGTGGAAACAATATTTAATCTACTGTGGTCCAGGTGGGGTACTGAGTGCTTCTGGAGAAACTCTGGTCTCTCCCCTTGGGGAGCAGCAACCAGTCGGTCACTCCTGGTTCTTCCAGCCTGACATCTGCAGAAACTACCCCCACCCCCACTTGCCTTCAGCCACCACACCCCATCGCAATCTGTTTGACCCAGGACAAACTGGAAGGCCAAGTGACACACAATGTCATTTAGCATTGACTTGGAAACAAGTTTCCAAATGGTACAGTCTGTCCTCTGAGACACTGACACGGCAGGACCCCTTAAGCATTCAGAGGCCACCAGCCTGTGTCCACAGAGCTGTGAGGAGAGCTCTTTGTGCACTCAGCAGCTAACTCTTCTGAAAATATCTTGGTGAAGAGAATCCTCTGTGTATTCTTGCTTTGTAATACTGGATCTCCTTTGCTGGATGCTCCCCTCTAAACTTCAGGGCCCAAAGCCCCCTCCTCAGATCACCACTTTTCTGCATCCAACCTCCCTCTGAAGTGGATCATCCAACCTCGTGCCTTTATATCCATGACCCCTAAACTGACACCCATCACGCTAACCTCTCCCTAGGCACTCCAGATTCAAGCAGTTTCTGTGCAACACTAGCACTGTGCTGTTGCCGTGTGCACATGCAGACTCCTGGTTGCCCCCAATCTCTAACACCTCTTTTTCCCATCTCAAGAAGTGGAAATTCTGTTCCTCCATTTACTCAGACACAAAACCTCAAGGTAACCCTGGATTTTTCTCTTTCTCTCACCACCTATAACCAACCCACCTGTCAATCCTGCCAGCTCTGCCTTCAAAGCAGATCTAGAATTTCCTGCTGTTTAAAACCCTCTGCCACCCAGACACCTTCACTTGAACTATTATTAATCGCATCTGACCCGGTCTTCCTGCACAGCAGCCAGAGTTGTCCTCTAAGATGTAAACCTGACCATAAGGCCCCTTGTGTAGACTGGAGATCCTGTCTGATCCCTGCCCCATTGTTGCTTCAGGATCCAGCTCCTCACCCCTGACCTCCTACCATTCTCTCTTCACCATTCCCCTTAGCCATATTGCTACTTTCTGCCTCCCCACTAGAAGGATAAGCAACATTGGAACAGGAAGTTTCATTTTATTCCATGCGGTAGCCCCAGGTTGAGACAAGGTCTGGGACATTGAAGTTGATCGATAAATCTTCTTGGAAACCAGATGCCTTTCCCTCAGCCTCATTCCTTCGTTTGTACCACCAGTTGGCCTGATTCCTGGTTCCATCTTCTTACACTGTGCCTGTGACCCAGGAGTCCGGTGAGCCCAGGGGGTTAGTACTGCCTCTTCCCACATCAGCATAAGAGCTGCCCTGGGCATGGTCTCAGGTCTCCTGGCCTTCTCTGTAAAGTGCTGTTTCACATCATCCAGGATAGCTTCCCATAGGTAGTTCTGCCCTCAGTGGTGCCAGATGGTAGAGCCAACCAGGAACCTGGACCACACAGGTTTCCGATGATGTACCAGGTGTGCTCAGGTGTTGGCCAAGACCACGTGGGGTGCAAGCTGATGATTCAGGATAAGGACAAACAGCCCAATGGCTTCTGGATTCCTTTCTCCCAAGTCCATACAACAATGGCTGGGTCACAGCCACAACTGCGAGATTTAAGGAGGAAAGCAGAGGGAAGGGAAACAACTAAAGCTAAAAAGAGAGCAGGGTAAGGTTCTCAAGGGAAACTCCTGTGAAACACCAAGGTGCAAGTTTGAGCTGGGGAGATAATTTTGGAGAAGACAGCAACTTCAGGGGCGGGGCTAACTTTCCTAAGAGGCCCCTCATACCTACAGTGTTAACAGACATTCAAACTCTATAACCTTTGTGTCAACAAGAACCCTTTTATATGCTGCAAACACTCTCCTGACTGTCCAGCTCAGGAACTGGCAAACTTTATTTTGTAAAGGACAAGATCCAAACTATTTTCATGTTTGTACCCACACAATCAATCTATGTCCAGCCTCATCAACTTTGTAATATTAGCAACAAAACAGTCTTAAACAATACATATACTAAATGGTATGGTTTTCGGCTAATAAGCTTTATTTACCAAAACATTTGGGCGAACAGATCTGGCCCTAGGCCAGTTTACTGATCTCTGGTCTAGAATTTGAAAGAAATGGAGAAATGTTAATGATGCAGATTAAGTTCCAAAATGTGCCTATGATGTGTGCATGCTAAATAGTACACAAAAAGACAAGGAAATCTTCTTCCAGTATTTGAAAATTATCTGACAATTCAGTAAAGCTGCATACATCATTCACAAATGATTGAAGGCCAATGTGTAGCTCTGTTGTTTCATTTTCTTCCTACTTGTTAACATAAAGGGAAATACCAATACTCATTCTGGGAGGAACTGTATTTGTTCATCAGTTAAAATCCCTGGCTACACTATGGATACAAGATCCCAGAACAAACATCAACAGAAGTGTTCTGTCGGGGATCATTTGGCTAATGAACCTACAATAAAGAGAACTGTGTATTTTAGTGTCCTTTGTAAATTGTGTTTACACATTCTTTCTATCAATCAAAACTTTGTAGCACATCACTTTTTTATGTACTTCAAACTACTTTGTTAAAGCTTGGGCCAGGTAGTATGGGTTTTTACAACCATTGAGAACCACATCACCTACCTTAAGCAACTTTTGTTTTTTCTCCCATCTTTGCCCCCTGCGTTACCCATATGGCCCCTTGGAGAAGGTCCCCAAGGAACGCACAAGGGACTCCTTAGTTGAGAAGTCATGAGATCTACAGGGTCCTGCATTCTTTTTGCACATTGAACCCCTATTTGAGACACATACCCTCAGGTCACTATACACTGTTCCTACAAGGAAAATCCTGTGTTTAAACCAATCTTGAGTGTGTGTTCTGACAAAGACATTACACCGAAAAACTATGAATGTTGTAGGAACTTTAGGCTGCCTGACTATATTCTGAAACCGTGTAACTTCTGGTCCCATGACCACGAAGTTCATTCATGAGAAAGTTTTAAAACACTGAACAATAAATCCATAAAGACCAATTACTTAGCAGAGTTTTGAACTTTTTAAAAAAAAAAGTAAAGACAATTTCATATGTGTCACAAATGTTCCTAAGGAATACGATTCCTGGCCAGGACGGAGAATCAGGATAGGTCTAAACTCAGGATCAGTCAATGGTCTGCTTAGAAATACACAACCCAGCTTAAAGACCATTAAATATATTGCTGCTTTCAGTTTAGCAAAACATCCAAAACTGACTTTGTATGATTCTGCAACTTCTATAACTCACTCACATTTCATCCGGGGTTGGGGCCCCATTTACATCCCATGACCTTTCATAGGCTATGAGCTACCAAAGGCAGCAACTATGTTTGCTTCCCAAATCCCTAGTGACTGGTGAGTTGGTTGTACAGCATAATGTAAGGGCTCTGACACGGCACAGGAAAGACACAGGGCTGTCTGCCTGTCACTCATCATCCCCAGCACTGTACAGGAAGAGAACTCTGTGCTAGTGGCCCACTCCTCCTGGCTCAGGGAGAGAAGCAGATTTCACCAACCAGAAGGAGCCACGGTCTTGTCATCACAAGAGCTGGTCTGCGGGACCCTGAACAAGCATCTTGCCGCACGCCTCAGTCCCTCCTCTTCCACTGGTCATCACGGCCTCTCTCAGGTCCGCTCAATTCCCTCCAGAGCAGACCTGGAACGACAGTGAGCTCTTATGAAATAAATCTCATCGCTTTCTCCCATGGTGTAAAACCTTCCAGCCAAGTTTTACACACGTGAGTTCTTGAACAGAGCACAGGAACCCTTTAAACTGTTCTTGGCAAAGCCACGTTTCTATCCTTTTCAGGCCTCGGTGATCTTCCTGTGCCTCCCTCCACAGAGCTCTGCCCTGCCTGGGAGTCTCCACATGTGCTCTCCCTTCCTATATCCTAGACCATCTAGTGGAGTCTTCCTCATCTATAGACTGAATGCACTGCCGTCAAAATTATCTCTGACTCCCAGACCCAGACAAGTCACCTCCTTTATCCATCCCCATAACATCATCTCCTTCTTTTTCATGACACTTGTCTCAAATCCATTTAATAAATTACTTGTGAAACTATTTGTACAATGGCATCCTTGGCTGGACTGGAGGCCATAAGAGGTCAAGGACGTGTGTATTCGCTCCTGCCATGTTGACATCTAACAACTAGTGAATACACCGTATGTGTACTGAGTGACTGCCCCCAAAAGCTGTATCTCTCTGGAACTGTTTCCTCATTTACAAATGGCAATAATGCCCACTTCACAAGACTGTTGTGAGGCTTAAATCAGTTGAACTACCTGAAAGCCCTTGTGTGTTTTCTTATATACGGTAGACAATAAATGTTTGTTTAATGACTATAAGCACTATAGCTTCTAAGATGCCACCTTTTAAATGGATCTAACATGAGGACTAGTTAGTAATTAGCACCTGTGAAGGTTTTTTTTATTAGGTGATTAATGCAACTTAAACCTTGAGTGTTGAGGCTAAGGTATTATTAAACACAGGTGTTGATTGGCACTTGCTGGGCACAGGAGGTGCCTCACTCCAGACCAGGACACAGAGAAGTGTTGTCCTGGGGTAGGAGTTCACCCTCAGCTGAGGAAGCACACTGAATAGAGCTGTCTATTGCCTGGGAAGTACAGCCAGGTCCTGGTGTAAAAATAAAGACACAATGAAGAAATCACCAGGCTGGTGACTTCAAGGTGCAGCCCAAGATTGAAAAACAAAATGTATATCTCTTTCACTCTTTCTTAACAAGATTATAGGTAGGGTGAGCAATCAAAGCAAGGCAATAAACAGAGAAAGAGACATGGGATCCGGTCGTAATTGATCCAACCCAGAAAATGGGAGACTGGAATTTCCAGGATGATGCAGACTGGGAAACCCAGGAAGACAAATAAGCAGCCAACTAGAATGGCCACCAGGGCAGGCTGGGGGCCTCGGAGAGAGGTGTCAATAGGGAAACACTGAGGGACTGGCTTACTGAGAATGGAGTTGGAGAAAGAGCTGAGGGAAAGATTGGTAGTGGGTATTTAGAAAACCACACAAAGCACGGTGCATTTATTGTGAGTGAACTGTACAGAGAGCTTCAGGGCTGTGGCAGGAGGTAGAGGAGGATGAGGAATAGTACAAGAAAGGAAATATAATCCTAATACATTACATGAACAATATTTATATGGCTATAAATATTGGCCTCGGTCTTAACCAGTATGGTAATAACACCTCCTGGAGGATGACAGGTGAGGGTTATAGGTATAGGTGGTGAGGGTAGGCTCTGCGTGAGCAAGGCTCCACGAGAGAATTAATTCTTACTTTTAATGGCAATAAACTCAATAAATAATAAATAACTAATACAATAAGCCAGAAAATTCTAGCAGGTTATTGAGAAATGTAGAGAAAAAGACAGAAATAGCAGCTGAACAAAATTGGAGCTGAGGTCTGGGAAGAAGAGAATTATGCCACTGTCAATTATTACAGAACAACAGTGCTGGTTGCATGTTTAAACTGTGATTTAAGGAAAAAATATTTTAAAATACCAGAGAGGAGGTGTGACAATGTTTGAGCCATTTATGATTTTTCTGTAATTCTCAATTCTTTAAAAAAAAAACTCATCTTTATTTTTACATAGCAGATCAATAAAATGAAATTTGTGAAAGAAAACATCAAAAATAGAATTATTAAAAAGGAAGATCAGCTATAAACAGGAGAGACTTTGTAGGTGTGACCTGGAAGGAAGTGTAGAGTACAAAGGACGTTTCCTTGGTGGCAGGTTGGGCAGCAGTGATTGACCATCTATCTGAGTGTGGCAGAGATGTGTTTGGTCCAGAAGAACACCTTCCTCTCTCTTGTGTCCCTGCCCCCCGCCACACCCTCCATCCCATAATCACAGGGCCCAGGAGTGATCAGCACCACCCTCTCACAGCATGCCAGCTCAGAGTCAGTGGGCGATACGCATGTGCGCATGCCCTTCATGTTCTCCAATCTTTTGAAATTGTCATGACATACACAAAAAGTACAAATTACCATCTGAACCATTTTAAGTGTGCTGTTCAGTTCTGTTAAATAAATTGATACTGTCACGTGACACTACCACCATCTATCTTCAGAATTTTTTTCATCTTATAAAACTGAAGCTCTGAGCCCATTAAACAGTAACTCCCCAATCTCCCTCTTCTTGGCCCCTACCAATCATTATTGTACAGTCTATCTCTGTGAATTCTGACCAAGTACCTCACATAAGTGGAATCTTAGAGTATTTGTGTTTTTGCATTGTTCTTTTTTCACACAGAAAGTCTTCAAGCTTCATCAATATTGTAGCATATGAGGGCTGGGGATTTAGCTCAGTGGTTCTACCACCTGCCTCTCAAGTGCAAGGACCTGAGTTTGATCCCTGGTACCAGGGAAAAACATTGTAGCATGTGTTAAAATTCCCTTCCCTTCTAGGGCCAACGTCCCATTGTATGTATATCCCACATTTTGCTTATTTCTTCATTCTTCTACGGACATGTGGTTTGAGTCTACATTTTAGCTTTCATGAATAACACTGCGGGGAACATGGGTGTACCAACATCTCCGCGAGATCCTGCTTTTGGTTTTAATATTTTGAGGAGCCACCATATTGTTTTCCATAGTGGCCACCCCATTGTCCATTCCTACTAACAGCACTAACACCCTGGCTAATACTAGGCTCTCTGGTGTCATGTTGTTGTCACGTTAATGGGTCTGAAGTGATATTCCAGTGTAGCTCTGAGTCGCATTTCCCTAGTGCTTAGTGACACTGAGCATCATTCTATGTGCTTATTAGCCTTTATTTTTGATATGCTGCTGTCAACAAGAGTTATAGTGCACATTGTACCTGTATAATCCTCCTTTATAGCACCCTGAACAGAGCATGGACAATTAGGCACTGAGACTACTTCATGAAGGTACACAGGGAAGGTAATAAAACTGCACAAGTGAGCACACAAGCTTAGGGTCTAAATCAGGCACATGAGCTTGTTCTACTTCTAGCTCCACACCTACAGGTTGCTGGCAGCAGGATCCTGGGCAAGTTGCACCCTTCTCTGAATTTTTCGTCTGTAAAGTGAGGAGAGTAAAAGAGCCTTGGTCACAGAGCTATTGTGAGGATTAGCTGAGACAATGCAGAGGGGCACATCTTAAGTGCCCAGTAAATGCCAGAAACTTGAGGATGAACAAAAGGAAGTCACCCCTGTCAATCAGCCTTTACAGGTACACTATTGACACAGTTGACCTTGGCAAATATTTTAACTAATACTTATTCATATTTTCAACATTGCTGAAAACACAGTTGATGATATGGGAAGGTATATCAAAGGTATCCCTCCTTACCTGCCTCAAAAAAAGCCCCAGCAGGCCAATGTTCCCCTGCTATCACATCTCAAAACCGTGTGCAGATGTAAAGAACTTTCCTCTATTTTAATTTTCCTTTTGATATTTGCATCTATTTTTTTCAATAGGCCCATGCTGGTATTGACTGACATGTCAATTTTAGATATTATGGTAATTGAAGATGCAGCCCTCTTAACACCCCACTGCCTCACTCCTTCCTCCAATGTCACAACTTTTGGTCAAATCATTACTCACTGTTTGCATTTGAGTTGCTATGTACATCTCTATTTTTCATTCATTGGTCAAGCTGTACATTGTGATTGTCTTTCTTAAATGCTGCTTTTGGTTTTGACAGGAGTTAGTGGGTGCCTATTTATTTTTCATATATTTGTTTTTCTCTGTGCTTTTTATTCTATTTACAACACATGTAGCACACATATTTTCAATATTACTTTCCAAACATGTAAGCCAAAGAAATGTTCCTTTTGTCCTTTCCACTGATGCTGTCCTCAGTGGAGTTGTCTGTCTCTTATTTGCTGGGATACATTCTCTCTGAGATCTCTCTGGTTGGGTCCCTGTATTATACGGTGGCCTTAATTCTCAAGCCTCCTTTCTTCTACTTTCTAGATCTATAACCTTGTTCTGGCGAAGTGCATCTTCCAAGAATCCCTGAGGTTGAGTGAAACAGGGAATAAAACTTTAGAGCCCTTATGTGCCTGATAAGATTTTAATTCATCCTTCACATTAGGTTTTTTATGAAGCTGGATATAGAATTCCAGTTTTTAAAAAAGTCATCTTATCTTAGGAATTCCAGAGTACTGTGTTGTTTTTGCTTTACATTGGTGTCCAGTATTGCTATAGAAAAGTCAAAAGTCATTCTGAATTCAACATCCTCTATGTGGCCCATTTTCCCTGTTTTTAAGACCTTGTTCTGAAGAAATGCTCTGTGCATGTGGAGGGGGTGTTCCATTCTGCTGAGTAAAGATAAATCTTTCAACCTAGAGATTCATGGCCTTTTATTCCAAAAATTTTTCTTACATTCTCCCTCTTTTCCTCTGTTCTTCTGAAACTTCCAACCACACATAGCCTCATAAGTTGATTCCATGTCATTTTATTTTGTGTGGGTGTGACCTTTCACTATGCCCCACCACCTCTTTTTTAAATTAATTTTATTGATATATTTTAGATATACAATATGATGACATTCATCACTGGAAATTTGTATCTTTACATGATGCATCTTGGTTCTTAATTTTTCCCCATTCCCCTGCCCTCCCTTCAACCCCTTCACCCCTCCCCTATTTACAAAATCTTTGTTTCCACTTTTTTAAATTTTCTTATATTAATTCCATTCCCTTCCTTTCTTTCCTCTACCCCTCCTACTTCCCCTTCCCCTTTGCATCTTTTCTTCCTATTTCACATTATCTATTATACTTTTTAATTGTTGTTTACACTTTCAGTTTATCACACCAGGAAAACTTCAGTATTTACATATGTGTGTCCTTTTTATTTCACTTAAGAGTATAACCTCAATGTGCATCCATTTAGCTATAAATGTCTCTAATTTCTCATTATTTATGGCTGAGTAGTACTCCATTTTATTTTTTTTAAACCACACACATTTCCTCTATCCAGTCTCCAGTTGAGGGCAATTGGGCTGTTTCCAAGTTTTAGCTATTACAAACTGTGCCACTGTAAATATGGGTGCATATATAGCTGGGGTATTATTCTTTTAATTCTTTTGGGAAGATACCCAGCAGGGGAATAGCTGGTCAAATAGGATCTCTAATCCTAGTTCTTTGGAGTGTCTCCACACTGATTTCCACAGTGGTTGCATCAGTCTGCACTCAAACCAGCAGTGGAGAAGGGTTCCTTTTTCCCCATACCCCTGCCAACATTTGTTTATTGGTTGATTTCTTTGTCATTTTCAAACCTGAAATTTTATTGTTGCAACATAATTTTTCTAATCTTCTGTTTCATGCTTTAATTTTTGCTTTGCCTTTCATAATTTTAACGTCCAGGTGCTCCTTCCTCTTTCACTAATGAATCTGTTTCCATGGCAACTTGTTCTAATTTTAGGGATGCAATATCTTAATCTATCTCTCTGAAAGATTGTAATTAGTTGAATATTTCTATGTTTTAACTTAATTTTCATTTCCCTGCCATTTCTGCTGTTTGCACTACCAAGTTTTCTCAGTTTACTCTTTCATGTTAGAAATCTCATCAAAAGTGATCTTATCGTTTATAATTAAGACTGGGGTACCAATCAATTGGTTAGAAGCTGTGGGCCCTGGTGAGGGTCTAATCAATGCCCATCCCTGGAAGCCAATCAGGTGATAAGCTAAATTTCCACCCAGGGGCTCCCAAAAATAAGGCTGTTTTCTCTCAGATAAGTGGGTTTCTTCAGAAAGGGAGCTTACAGTCTGCTGCATGAAATAGGACATGGGGACTGATGTGTGTTCAGTTGCTGGCACTCCAGGAAGATGGCTGGAGTCTCACCTGCAGACTTACTCATCTTCATTTTCTACGTGGCCCCCTGTACCGTGCTGTCTCCACATCTCTTTCATTCAGTGGACCACAAAGTCTCTTGGCTACTTGGGACAGAAAAAAAAGGCTTTTAGCATCCAAGTTCCCCACATTCTGAATTTCAGTCCCCATCTACTGCTACCTGTAGAAGCACCTGCTGCCCCCACATCTCAGCCTCTCTGTGGTTCTTCCTACGAAAGTGGCATTTTTCCCTTTGGTTCTCTCATTTCCCCACCACCACCACCGCAATCATTTAAGTTATTGCTTCCTCCACCCTGATAGATTGAGTGCTACTTCTCCAGATATTGTTCATGTTGCAAACTTTTGCTGAAATTTCTTCTCAAATTATGTTTCTGCTTCTCTCCTTTCCCTTAGCCTTTGTCTGTTTCTACTTTTTTAATCAAAGTAAAATTCACATAACATAAAATGCAACATTTTAGCCTTGTTAAAGTATTCAACCCCATGATGATTATTTCATTCACAGTGTTGTACTCTCATCACCTCCATCTAGTTCCAAAGCATTTTCACTATCCCAAAAGGAAAGCTTGTATCCATTAAGTACTCACTACCATCCCACGTCCCCCACTCCCAGCTCCTGCAGGGAAGTAATCTGCATTCTGCTCTCTATGGATTTGCTTACTTTGGATTTTCCAATAAGTAAAATCATCCAATCAGACAATTTGTGTCTATCTAGCCTTTCACTTATTATGATGCTTTTGAAGATCTATGTTGTAGTATTCATCAACACTTGATTCTTTAGCATAGTGAATAACAATTCATTATATGTAAATATATTTTGATTCATCAGTCAATGGGCAGTTTTCTATTTCTTTATTCATTTCCTATCATGAGAGATTAGTGTTGGGAAGGGAAGACAATAGATATCAAAGGTCAATCTGATGGATGGGTTTAGCCAAATTAGTGTTACCAAGTGTTAGTGTGAGCTCCATTTTTGCCAGCCAGGCAGCAATCTGACTTTCATTTTTGCCTTTGCTTGGAAAATAAGCTCATGCCCAGTGCTCATTAGAGCCGCCATCAGATCTGGGTAACTTATCTATGCCATAAATAAAAATCTTTTGCTCCTTCCAGGCCTGGGGTCACAAATCAATTAAAGAAAGTTTCAAAAGGTAATTTGGAAAGACAATCTCAAATACAGTGGCACCTCAGTTCATGAATGTAATTCATTGCATGATTCTGGTCACAAAACAAATTGCTTATGAACCGAATCAAATTTCCCCATAAGGTTCAATGTAAATAAGGTTAATACATTCTGAATCATATGTATTTTTAGCCACAAAAATATGAAACAAAGTACAGTACAGTATGAAGAGAGTGAAGAGAACACTAACCTTGCCTGAGGCAATTTCTGGTGTGGAAGACAGGAAAGTGGGTGGGAAGGAGGTGGTTGGTTGTGAAGGGAGAGACCCCTCCATAAGGACATCAGGGGATCTCCTGAAGAGGATTCCTCTGTTCTTTATCTCAGCTGCAGAGGCAATTTTGATGAAAAAAATCTATCTAATGTCACTTGGTTTTCCTGTACTGCATAACCCTCTGAAAATGAGAGAACACATTATTGTTTGTCAGATTCAACACTCTGTTCATTACAGTTATGTTGGCGTGATAATTCTCAAAGAAATCCTGGCACTAATTCCATTTTTCCATAGTAAATTTTACCACATCACTGCTAACCTCCTCCCTATCTGCCTCTTCCCCAGTGGAAGGCTCCTCAATAGTCACCTTCTGCTGTTCACTCAGGAGTTCAGCAAGTTCTTCTATCATCAGCTCATCCTCACTGCCCTCAACAAGCTCCTGTATGTCTGCACCATCAACGTCCAGACCCGTACTTTTGCCCATGGACACAGCCCTCTCCACTACCTGTCATCAGACCCTTCACAGTCACATTCAGTGACACATTCTGACCCCAGGTTCCTTCAGGCTGAGTTTAAGGTCTGGCACATGACATCTTCCCAGGCTTTATCAGTGAGGTTGATGTAGTTGAGGACATTGAAGTGTTTCTTCCAGAACTCTTTCAGAGTCAAGGATGTCTGTTTGGCAACTATAAAACACCTGGTGAAGAGTGCCTTTGTGTACAACTGCTTGAGGTTGTCGATCACTGGCTGGTCCATGGGTTGGAGAAGAGGTGTCATGTTGGGGAGGAGGAATTTGTCCCTTATGGAGTCATACTCAGGGTCCGTGTCATCCACCAAGGCTGGAGAATGTGCTGGGGCAGTGTCCATCAGAAGAAGGCACTTTTCAGGCAGTTGGTTGTAAGAAAGACAACAGAGGGTACAAATGGCTTGCGTAGCCATTCCATGAATGATCATCCTGTGACACAAACTTTTGAATTGGCCCTCCATGTGACAGGCAGTCTGCCCTTTCACATTCTATTCCTTGAATGCACAAAGGGTCTGGGAATGGGACACCAGTAGTGGCTTAATCTTCAGATCAGCACTTGTGTTAGCATGCAACAACTTGGACTGGTGTCCTGGCACTGCCTTTTCCTCCTTCATGATGTAGGTTCTGTTTGTTATCTTCTTCCAGAAGAGCTCTGTCTCATTACAGTTGAACACTTATTGAGCGATGTATCCCTCTGCCTTCATGAATTCTACCAATTCTTTCTTGTAGGCTGCTGCAGTGGCCTTGTCCGAACTGGAAGCCTCACCATGTCTTACCACCCTGTGGATGTCACTTGTCTTGCAGAATTTGTCAAACCACCCTCTACTTGCTTTAAATTCATCACTTGTTGCACATATAGAGGGGTTTTCCTGCAGTAAATCACTGTGCAATTTCCTGAGATTTTCACACATTTTAGCTTCACTAATACTATCACCTGCCAGCTGTTTCTAATTCAGCAACAATAATAAAAGATTTCCCACCTCTTCCACCACTTGCATCCTCTGCTTGGTTAACATCATTATTCCTTTGCTACGTCAGCTCCTTTGATGTCATCTTTAGTCTTCAAATCAGTCAAGACTGTCAACATTGCCATCTTATACTCCAAGGCCGGATCAGTCACACAAATGCCATGTCATGCTTTTCTATAATTTCCTTCTCCAATTCCAAGGTTATTTTCTTCGAAGTCTTCTTACCATTCTTGCTCTATGCTTTCTTGTTACCTTCATTACTGCCCTGCATGTTCTTCTCACCTTCATTACCATTCTTTTTAACCATCTTGCTCACTCTGCACTTTCTTTGGAGCCATGCTGGACTGAATACTATTGTACAGTGCTGTATGTGCTAAAAAGCGCATGGAAAAAGTTTCACAGCAAGTGTGCACAGGTCTGTCTGTGACCATGATCTCGACTAGAGGAAGTGACGACCAACTGTCAGAGCAGGGAAGATGGACACGGACTTGATCTTCACCAGTGCAGAGTTTGATAATGGAAGCAAAATTTTGCCAAGCACTTCTGTTTGCAAACTGAATTGTTCATGAAGAGAAGCATCCGTGGACCAAGGTATTGCTGCAGTTTGGAATAGAATGACTGTTTGCCTATTAGATAAACGTGTTTGAATCTCAAGAATATTTATAATTAAGCATAAATCTTATAAAGTATTTCAAACACATAGAATAATAGTTTTGTATTAAGGAATAATCCATAGATAGACAATATTTTAAGAACATAAAATCTCATTCTATAAAATCTCATACTTCATGTCCTAGATTTGGAGCCAATTAACTTTGAGACATGAGTAACACTCCAATGGGAAAAATGTGGTGAAGAGGTGAGAGTAACTTCTGAGGTGCACTCATTTTCAAAATATCTCAGGTAGACAATGATATATTTTTAAAAATTTGAGATATGCCCCTGTGTCAGAATTGCTAAAAAGATTAATTCTCAAAGCAGTGGACAGAATGGAAGAGTGGGGAGAAATCATGGCAAAATTCCTATCTCCAACTCTTAAGTAAAATCGGAACCACTCCTGAAGAGTGTACACACTTCCCAAAAGTCCAGCTAACAAGGTGACTGGAAACATGAAAAAACCCAGAAAAAGAGTTTAACACTGATTCATGTTAACGGACACTACTGGACACAAGCTAACTTTCCTTTGCTTTGATCTTGGAAAAAGAAAGTCTTTTCTCTGCAGCTTTCCTGGGACCCCAGGGAAGTTGAGAAGTCAGTCCTTCCCAGGATACTGTGTGGCGAAATTCCTGGATATGCCCATTACAGATGCCCCTGCTAACCCACTTTGGGCTTTAGCTCCAGGATTTCCCATGCATTTGAATTGTGTCATTTGCCCTTTCTCAAGACAACAAAGGCATGGACCATATGATGAATAAAGCCACGCTGTAAGGGTCTAGTGCCCTGCCCATGGTCTTCAGAAGCAAGTTCTTTCATGTGAGTATCAAATGCTACTGGTGGACAATGGTCCTGCAGTGAACAGAGCTCTTAGCCTGCCTACTGGATCTAGAGTGCAGGCAGGCACAGCACCAGGCTTTAGAGAGAGTCAGAGACTCAGAAGCACAAAGGTGAGCCAAGTGGCAAAGCAGATCAACAAGACAGAGAAGTCATGAAGGGGTACAGATGGAGCAAGTTAGTCAGCATATTTGTCAGGTGGCTAAGGGAGGGGTCTTAAGAAAGGCAGGTGCAAGTATTGATGACGTCTTTCAGGTAGGGATTATAAAAGGTTTCCACTTCTCACCATAGTCATCACCCACAATGTGACCATCCCTGTAGCAGTCATTGTACTATCACCATCATCATTATTTCAAATAAACTAAGCGGTGACATGTATGTCATACTGTCCATCACACCCAACATGACCATTCCTGCAACAGCCTCACTCTCAGAACAACAGCAAGCACCAGCAATGCCTAAATAAGCACCAATGTTTGCATTGTGCTGTAAAAAGGAGGTAGAAAAGTTCAACTGCCCCTAGGCCCCCCAGAAATTGTGTTATAATCTTCATCATTATCATGAACTCAAATATATTGAGTGAGTACCATGGACTAAGCATTATGTGCGGATCGAGCCTAACAATAACCTGGAAGGTGGCAATGTCTTCCTATTGCAAACGGGAACTGTGGAACTGTGATTTGAACCTCCCTAGGCTGCCTGGCTTTACTGCCCACATGCCTTACCGTGATGTAATGCTTTTCCCTACAGCCCTCCCCAAGATTTTTCAGGTTGGAGCAGATGCCAGAGGATCCAGAGAGCACAGAAAGAAGATATTTGAACTATTCATGTTATAACTTGTCATTTCACCCTTGTCAGTGTCTATTTCATTCTTATTTTATAATATTCATATACTAGAAAACATATACAATATAGAAATTAATAAGTTACAGATACATGCTTAACTATGTGCTGAAAGAAGTGTGCAGTCAAAAATGGTAGGAGATAACTTGTCTCAACAAACCTGACATGATTTATACCATAGTTAGGCAAGTGGAAAATCATATAACCCAGGCCCAAGCATACTCTGGGCTGATAATTCCACATGTGTGGTTCTGATTCATGATTTTGTGCTCTGCAGAATTAAGGTCTTGACTGTGGCAATTGACTCAGAATTATGACTTGTCTTTCTATAGGGCCCTTCTATAATGTCATGTAATAAACTGAGTTCACCAGCCTGTGTATAGTAGGATGAGTCTTTCACTGCGTGTAACAGGGTGATCCATATTAAAAACAATAAACATGAGTTAGTTGCCTGACTTTTTCATTAACAAGTAAAGCTTCGTGTTTTTCTAAGACTCTTCTGCAAATGCCTCTAATTTTTCTTTGTTCAAAAAGTAAATTTCTGTTAAATGGATGCTTATCTTTTGGAGGTAGGCTGTACAAACAGAAAATGACACGGTCTCAAATATGCTTCAAAATAATCTGCGGTCAGGGAGAGGCAGGGGTCAGAAGAAACATAACCTTCTTAAGATGGTTGATGGATACTTAGGGTACATGATGTTATTCTGCCAAATTCTATCTGCATCCTAAAGTAGTACGTACTATCTTAAAACAGTCAAGGGTCATAGATAGATAGATAGATAGATAGATAGATAGATAGATAGATAGATAGAAAGAAAACTGGATTTTTTTTTCCCATTGAGCACTGTCAGAACCCGTATCTCAGCTGAGAAAGGAGAATAATCCAATGTGGATTTCACAGAAATTATTGTATGCCTGTCATGCATTCATGATATGCCGTACATATGCACATCTAATAAATGTACCCATGTTGTTTGTTGTCATATTAGAATTATCCTCAATCTACAAATACAATTAAGAAAGAAAAATACCTAATTTTAAAAATTGTTTTAATTGTTTAACAATCATTACATTAGCTATTCAGGGGAAAATTCAGGAAAGAAACAAATCTCCCACATCACTGAGATGAAGGGACCTTTGAAAACATTTTTCAGTGGATATTATTGGCATGGGAAGAAATGAATAGACTTTGCACACAAATTTATCTCTCCATCCTACTGCGCATTCTACAAGCTGAGATTGAGTGTCACGATCCATTGAAGGACATCTCACTGTGAGATGCAGACTGAAGCCCCCATAGAGACAAGGAGAGCTACCAAAGCTGACTTCTCTGACCAGGATTAAACCATGGAG